CTTGGTGTGTATATATATATATATATATATATATAGACCTACGTATAAACACATGTACATACATAAATGCACGCATGTTCTATCCAAACACCTCTTTTAATCTGATGGGACGTGGATTTTGTGAGCATCCGTGCTCCTTCCCTCCCTCCCTGCCCACCTACATTGGTAGGGACATGCCTGCGTTTAGTACATGCATACAAGCAGCATGCATGGATCCATGCAGGCATGCAGGTATACTTATCTATCGTATGTGCTACCTTGCGGCACTAGCCAGCAGCGAAACTCCAACCCGGCCCGCAGAAATTCCCCCCAGACCGGCAACATCTAAAACAGTGCCTTGTTTGGGTTTTCGTAAATGTTTCTCTAGAGCTTCTCAAGAGTTGGCGTATCGGTGAGTGCGTGTTTGAGTATCCACAGTCATGAACCACGCTTCATGTATGGTGTATCAGTAGAGGCTCTGCTCCATGTCAATCTGCGCCACACGCAGAGTGGCCACGTACTTCCTCACCAGAACCAAAAGGCCGATGGGGGCTTGGTATACCTGGACCCCGAAGAACCTTCCGTTTTAGGTCTTATATAAGGATCTTTATAGGGTTCAAACAAGGATTACATGAGGTTTAAAGCCGCTTTGCCTCCGTCAGGGTTTCGGGTATAGGGAGCCCCAGGAATCCGAAGGGCGACTGAAGTGTTCTACATGTGATAAATAGTCCCGGCATGAAGCCTCAGGAGGTTGTAAGCAGGGTTCGATAACCATCGCGCAATGGACCAGGCCATAACCTGCCTTTGTTAAGTCTTCTGGTCGTTGAAGTGCTGCGAGCTAGCTGGCGCGTCAGGGAAAGAGCAGATCACCTGGCTCGACCGATATCTTCTGCCTACTGAGCTTGAGAAATTCCAACCGATGATTTGACCGCGAGGCCAACGGCAAATGACCAATGATTTTCAGTGCCAGCTGAAGTCTCCGCAGGGAGAAGCTATGTCTCAAGCGAGTCTTCCAGAGCAGACGTGGGACACCGATAGTGCGAGCACAGTTAGAAACCGAACAATTAGAATCCGACGCATGTCTGAACAAAACAACCCCGCAACTTCAGCGTTATTAATTCATGTAATAACTGCGACTCTGCAGTGCCAAGCTTCGCTTTGGGATTCACTCGGATCCGCTTGGAAAGGAAGCAGCCCTGGTCGCTGTTGCAAGACCCGACCTGAACTACAGGGCAGCTCAATCGGTAACACTGTTGATAAAATCCTGCATTACCGATAATACGGACTATACCAGAATTCCCATAGTATAGGGTCATTGAGGTAAACAGGATTTACATCATCTATTGGAACAGGGTTTGGGGGGGAAATTTTCAACACTATAGCTATAGTACGGAACCCCAATATAGTATCATTTAGGCCCCTTTATTACATTTCCGTATGCGGAGATCCCAGCCGCATGCCTCGTTCTGCTTTTCGACAAGTCTTTCGCGCTCCACACCAAAAAAAAACTGCCACGTATTGGCAGGAGCTCAACATCCCCATGCCATAACCTTGAAAGGGGGCCTTCCACAAATACCTATAGTCTCCATTGTAGTTCCTTTTGGGTGGCACCTTATAAGATCCTAATCCTAATTATATATTTGGCTAAACCAAAAAAAGAACAACAATGGCGACTATAGGTAGACTTACGTCGGCAGCGGCTAATTGAAATATAGAGGGTTTTGGACTCTCACCGTTCGGATGTGACTCTCCAGTGGTGGGAACCTCAGAGAGTTCATTTTTTTAAACGAAACGGTGCATTCACGAGAGCCTGCCTCACCTCCAGTGCAAACCCAAGCTATCATCTCTACAGGCAAGGACCTGCCAGGAAATGTGGGCGTCTTAGATGACAACATCCGAAAGATTTCGCTACAGCCACGCAGCCACGTGAAACTCCTATGCTCGACAACTGAAACCGAACTCACAAGCCCAAACAGTCTTTGCCTTCTGATTCTATTTGACCAGGTGCATGGCCAATGAAGGATTCGAGGACCTCATCTTCAAATGGCTCCTGTGGACTCCAACAGCATGTACAGTAATCTACTCGAATATACGACAGTAGGCTATACTTAGTATGACATCGTATACTTTAATGTACTTAAATATGTAAACACACGATCTGCGAAGCAGAATGTCTCTGGCAAGGATGTTATCAACTCCCGTAAAGGGACCATCTTCCAGTTGTATAGTTAGAGAAGGGGTCCTTGAGCATAGCATTCTTCACGACCCTAATAATAGTCAAGATGGAGAGCTCGTCCAATTACATCCGCCTCAAGTCTGAACATGCACCCTTCCTATATCGGAGCCGCACACGAAGCAAAAGCACTCAGAGTCAAAAAACTGCTCGGCTTGGACAACACCGCTCCTCTTCCGCATGGAAGGTTCCCCCGTAGGTGCCGTAATCCTGGGCTGCGAAGCTCAGGACATTTGCACAGTTCCACTCTCTGATTTCCTCGGCGCTCCAGCGTTGGGAGGCTTTAGGACTGATTGCGCACTCAATTGACTTTAGGGGGTTCGCTCGGCTAGGGCGGGCTTGCGCCTCACACTCACGGAGGCCAACACCCAACCTTCACAAAGGATTCAAAGCCTGCACGATCTAAACAGCTGATGTGAGTCCCTGAGCGTGGCCAAGCCCACGACTGCACCGAAACCCCTGCAGCACGAGCCCACCTGGAACGCTCTGACCCCAAACTCGAAATCCAGACCCAACGGTTGCGACCTAAACTCTGAACTGTGAGCCCTCCAGCGAACCTGTAAACCCCAATTTCAACCCATAAAGAACCTTGCCTATAGTCTCCATTGTAGTTCTTTTTTTGGTTTAACCAAGCATATAAATAGGATCCTATAAATAGGATCCTATAAGGTAACCCCAAAAGGGAACTACAATGGAGACTATAGGTATAATACCTTCCCTAAACCTCGAGAGGCGGTAAACTACGGTTGATGATATAAATCCTGCATTACCTTAAGGACCCTGAACTATGGGAATTATGGTATATTCCTTATTATGGGTAATGCAGGATGTATATCATCAACCGTAGTCAGGAGTCCAGATCCACGGCTTCCTCTTCTTGCGCTTCTTGGCCCTCGCTGGGCCTCCGAGCTTTCGGGCACAGGTCTTCGGTCAGAAACTCAGCAAAAGGGATTTTAGGATCTTTATAAGGTATACTTTGAAGTATTATGTCAGGTTTTCTTGTTGTTATATTTATGCCGTACGATTAGTTATATATTATAGTACTACGAAGGCGTCCTTGAAGGATTACTAACGGGGTTACTTTAGGGCCTCTACTGCGTTTCAGGGTATGGTCGGCCAGCCACTCCTGAAACAGTAGGCTATCAGGCGTGCGATTGGCTTTGAGCAAGGTGGGTTTGAGGATGTGGGGGTGGTGCTGGCTTTGTCTGGTTGCCGTCGCTGTTGCCGTCATCGTCGTTGCTGCCGTTGTCGGTGTGGGTGCTAGTTGTTTTCGACTCTTGGGTGTTGTTCGAGTTATGAAGGAAGCTACTCGGGAGGGGGGTCTCATTCGTTTCCATGAAGTCCTGCAGTCTGATGCTTACACCGGCCATCCCGCGTTTGCCTTTGCCACAGCTGCTCTTCGAGTTCGACAACAGGTCTTTGCTGCAGGCTATGGGCGCTGTGGGGGATACATGTCTCCCGTGATGTCAAAAGTGGAGGTTTTCGCCGGGCTAGGTTTCTGGGCTGGCATCTTCACATCTTGCGGGAAACAAACTCTGCAAAGCTGTAGGATGCCGTGGAATCCGATATACAAGCTGTTACAAGCATCTGCATGCACAGATAAGCACTTGCGAGGTGTATACAATCTACCAATACCAGCTACACCAAGAACGCGCTTGAACAGACGTTGTGCTGCATACAGTGCACGTATGCAGCAGTAGAAAAAGAAGTATACAGGTACATGTGCCTTTCCATATGTATTGGTACGAGACCATGAGCCTAGTCAAGTTGATCACTACAATAGACTCGGTATTCTGGGCCTGAGCGGCAAACCCTACCGCGAGCGGCCTCTGCACACCCTGCGGCAGCTACCGATCCAAACTTCCATCATAAATGTTGACATGGTGACTTCACACAAATGTTCGAAGATGCCAGAAACTGCGACAACCAGTATCTAAACAAGGCACTAGGTTAGGGTGAGTATACTCGCATATGGTGCAGCCTCCAAAAGTGCGCCTTCCAACGATTATATCTCTGTGGTTAAAACCGTATGCTTCTGAGCTGTCAGCCACTGGGCTATGCAGTGCATGATTTCAAACATGGCATGCACGCTCAAGGACGCATGAACAATACAGTCTTATGCATGGCTATTCCTCGGCAGCTCACGCGAGGTGAGCAGGATGTGACGACCAAAACCCTAGACAATTTCTGTAAACCCTATAAACCCCAAAGCCAGTCGGTACGATGCGTCAGGAACAGCTGCTTGGTTCCTTGCCGGGCTCTTCTGCGGATGCGACACACTGATACCCCAAAGGGTGCAAGTACCATTCTAGCATGTACTTAGTAGGTATTTGGGCCCCAAAAGTATATACCATACCATTACTTGGACCCTTTGGATATACCATATCTTGGAGTGTATGTGCTTGCTGCTTTTGACGATGCTCCGACTCGACCTAAGATTGGGGATAGGTGTTCTCCCAGGTTGCTGGCTGAACCTCACAGTCGGCGGAGACTTCCACGCCATTCGCGCGAGCCTCTTCCAGGATAGCCGTTATGTTTGCACACCCTGGCTCCCTGGTCATCTTATCGATCCGGCAGCCCATAATCAAGCAGTCGATTCCTCTGTTGGGCTCGCGGAACATCTCGTGATACCCAATGCTGAGCAGCTCCTCTACAATGCGCTGGGCTCCATCTGCATGTGCATCCGTGAGGATCCCTGCGGCAGCCTCCAAACACATGAAGATCGGACCACTGTTAGTACTACTCCAAGAGTTCATGAGATCGAAAATCCTCGCCACCAGTTCGTCTATCACCTCCATGTCTCCGACCTGCACCAAGTCGGGCACCGCCTTGGTGGCGTGAAAGACGGTCTTGACAGAAGTTGTGCTTTCCTCTGTGACCAAATCGATGTCTGAGATCTTCTGTAGCCAGAACTTAAGCACCCTGACGACATCAGGGTCTCCTCGCCGGGCGATCCGCTGCAGGATCTTGATCGCAAAAAAACGGACGCCGCATCTGGAAATGTCGGTGTGCCCCAGGGATCTTTTCGCTCCTGATCCAGGAGACGGAGGCACAAGGACCTTACCTGCTGCGTCTCTGCAAGCTGGCCGTCGTCGAAGCCTTCCAGGAAGCTCAGCAACGGCAGGAGTGAGGTCTCTGCCTCTTCAAGCCATTTCCCCTGCTCTTCCGTATCTACCGCCCCCGGGCACTTGTCGAGAAAGCCGAGGCACTCCTCCGCATAAGCCTGCGGCCCAGTCACCTGCAAAGTCAACTCCGAGTCCTCGCTGCAAAAGGCTCCGATACACCCTTCGGACAGGAGCTCTGCCCCCATTCAGCAAACGAAGAGACACTGCGGGCTTCTGCAGCGCTTGCGCAATGTCTTCTCGTAGCTGGGCCACGGTATGGTCCAATGCAACATCTTCGGGGCCCCAAAGGTTCTCGCCTGCTAGGTTGTGAACTGTAAGGGCAGGCATTCTGCCGGTTCTTTAAATCCCGCTGGCTTGAGAAGCAAATGCCTTCAACCAGGCACATTGGAAGTCTGACACCAGCGAAGGTTTGGTCAAATACCCTTGAAGCTGCAAAAGGTAAGGCCGATGACAAAAGCTTCCCAGTCTGAAAACCTAAACCCCTACATCACTAAGAGGACTCTCCAGGTGTGAAGAAACTTCTGGGGCAACTCAGACAATCTCCCCAACCGTGCGGGACATGCTTCAACTTGCAAACCTACTGTCCGAGCCCTCTGCCCTTATACCCTACCTAAACCTACCCAAACATCCTTGCTTTTGGGTAGGGTCCCCATAAATTTGGGGTTTGTAGTGACAGCCTACAAAGACGTAGGCTATGGTATTTTGGGGTAGATACCACTGCTTCGGTTCCGGGTTGAAGGGCTTCGGCCTTTACTCACTGCAGCCATACGCGAAAGCTGACTGCAAAGCTGACTGGAAATCCACCGGACACACAGGAATTGCGCTCGCCCGAGACATCGGTGAGACATGCTGCTAAAGCCCCTGAAATGTTGCACATTCCTGTGGTCTTTTAGGGCCCAGGGTTTTGGAAGGTTGCTTTAGGTTCCAATCAAAAGCACCGACACACTGAGACACGAGCTCAAACACGGTAAGCCTTCTTGCAGTGTTCGTGCTGCTGGGCTTCTGTGCCAACCGCAAGGCTCGCCGCGCATAGCGGTGGATCACAGAATCCAAAGTACCTTGCAATGGGGGAGTCTCGTGGAGTTCGACTCCAAGAGTCGGTACTTTTCAGCCCGAAACCTTGCAAGTCCTACGTAAGGGACTCGAAGCTTCGGTTTAGGGTTTTATAGGGTTCAGGATTGAGACCTCCGGCGACAGAAATCCGGGTTGAGCAGTGCAAACTGTCTGCACTGTTGGCTGCAACAGATTAGGCCAAAGATGTTCATGCTGCATGTATTGGCAAACTTGGAGAAACCACATCATGCAACAGTCTGCTCAGAGTTTCGTATCACTGCCCAGGTACGGTTCAAGTTCATGATAATGGAGTCACAGTCGAACCACGCGACCCAATCCTCGGCAGTTGGCTTTCGGTTCTTCAAGGGTTGACTGGAGTGGCAAAGCGTGGGGTGGTAAACACTCAGACGGGTTCTCTACCAGTTATGAAGAATCAGTGGAATGGAGCGTGTGTGCAGCCATGGTGCATACAAACCTGTCCGGAGGTAGTCTGCAACCAGCTGTAGCTTGGAGTGCTGGATATGCACGCCCTTGTCGGGCATAGGGTGCTCGTAATGCACAAAGACCTGTAGGAAGGATATAAAGCAGTTTGGGGGTGGTTCCCCGAACTCCCGATTGAACCCTATGTGGTTTATGCTCCGACCTCCAATCATGGGAGCGAAACCGGGTTCTGGGTTTCCGGACAGATTGGGGCTGGTGCAAAGTTCTGGGCTCCGAAAGCTTACCCATGAACCCTGATGCCCAGGCACCTCATAACCATGGCGATCGCCATAGGCTCTGCGATTCTTCGGGGTGATATTCCGGAGAACCAAAGGATGACTCGGGGGATAAGCGCAAATTGAGACAACGGCTATGCCTGGGCAGCAGGAGAAGTGGGCCTCTCTGGCGGAGGCTTCTCTTAACAGCCTTTTTGGTTGCAAAGCGGCCTACGCTACCCCCCTAGAGTTGAGTCGGCTTTGTTCGAATCTTACCTATGCCGCCTTATAGAGTCCGAGCCTCCAACAAACACAATGGCTTAAAGTGCAAGGTGAGGCTCGTAAGCCATCGATGCGCAAGGTGGCGTTTGCCGCAGGCAGCTTCGTGTAGCGCCTAGGTCTGCTGCGGCTGGGCCGAACATGTGGGAGTTGCCGAAAATTAGGTGTACCTTATTATGTTGGGGTCCTTATAATAAGGGTCCTGCTACTGAGGGTACTGTATTAGGGTCCCCTGTTTTCGGAAACTCTGGAACAATGCTAAGCCATAACACGCTAGTTGTACCCTGTAATCCTTTAGGAGATCAAAGACCCTAGCCCCCAAGCCCTACCTTAAGCTACCATAACCGACTAGAAAGCTAGGTTTTGGTAGCTTAAGCTGAACCCTAAACCCGTAAACCCTGAACCCCAAACCCTAAACCCCTACCTTAAACCCCAACCCCTAAACTTTAAACCCCAAACCCTAAACTCCAACAAAACCCTAAACCCCTACCCTAAACCCGAACCACCAACCCCAAACCCAAAACCCCAACAAAACCCCCCAAACTACCCTTTATTGTAGCCCTCTTAATGAGACAAATTAGAGCCCTTTAAAGGGTACTTGGGGGGTGCTGGTAAACCCCACCAAAACCCCCAAATCCCTTGTTTCTCGGGCCTCTGCTGCTCCGAGGAAAGGCGGTCCTGGAGCTGGCAAAGGGAAGGGTTTGTGGCTCCCGGCTTTTTGTGAGGAACCCATAGGTATTCAGGGTTTAGGGTTTAGGGGTTTATAATAGGGTTTAGGGTTTAGGGGTTTAGGGGTTTAGGGTTTAGGGGTTTAGGGTTTAGGATGCACTAAAGCTCCTGGACCCTCGTAGTGAGATCCCAAACCTTAGCCCCCCCAAAGCCCAAACCCTCCCCCAGAAAGCCCATGACCCTCTTAGGAGCCTTAATGTAGGTTCTATATAAAAAGAAGGAATTCTTTAACAGGGTTCAGGGTTTGGGGCTTTGAGGGTTCCCGGAGTTCTCTTGTGAGGAATCTTGAGATATGGGAGTTTCCGAAAATTAGGGGTACCTTCCTTTGGTCTTGCGTACAATAAGGATCCTACTGTTTAGGGTAGTATATTAGGGTCCCCTATTTTTCATATTACATTCAGGCTCCTGAGAGGGTCATGGGCTTTCTGCGGGAGGGTTTGGGCTTTTGGGGCTAAGGTTTGGGATCTCACTGCGAGGGTCCAGGAGCCCTAGTGTATAGCTTCTACAAAAAAATAAAGGAGTTCTGTTAAGAGGGTTTCGGGTTTAGGGCTTTGGGGTTCAGGGTTTAGTGAGGAATCTAGATATTACAGGTTCTCCAAAAAGAGAACCCACGGAATCTAGATTTCAGAAAGCTAGATTCTAGATTCCAAACTAGAAGGGTTTGAATTTTCAGTATCTGCACGGGCCCCACTACAGATCTTAGGGTTTTTTTTTGGGGGTTTAGCGCTCAAGGGTTAAGGGCTCGGATTGGGGTGTTGGCTGAAAGGTAACGGTTGAAGGTTTGCGCATGCAAGGCTCCACGCAGTCCGAATGCGAAACACCGAATCTTATACTTACAACTCCGCTTAGTATGTCCACTGTGTCCCTTAGCCAGCCAGAACAAAGAATGCTGTGGTTCGTAGTTGTAGCCATTCCAGTGGTAAGGAAAGCAAGAAGCAAACAAATACGGGCTTGGTTGTCGATGAGGGCGCATCTTCAAGAGCGACCGCAAGGATCCAGGGCCATAAACCCTAAACCCTAAACCGCCCCATGAACCGGAACGAACTCACGAACAAACATCCTCAGCTCCTTCCAGTCTCCCAAACTGCAAACAGGCCACAAGTGCCCGAGGCCTCCAAAACCCCTTAAGTAAGGAATATACCTAAGGCCCATATTTTGACTCTAAATATAGTCCTTAATACAGAGTTTTGGAGGCTCTGGGTACCCTATAGGAACCCTATAGAACCCCTTAGCCCTTTAAGGAGCCCTCAACGACCCTGGCAAGCCCTAAAGAGGCCTTGAGAATGCGGATCTCGCTCACAATGTGATCTGTGCGCGTGGCCCAATCTCGAGCCGCCTCCTCCGGCACCTCTTTCCAAAGGGTCCTACGTACCTACGTAGTAGAATGTGGGGTCTCTATCTATATGTACATAATTATCAATGGATGATTGAAATAAAATATACACAAATAAAAAATGAATATGACTAAATATACGTGTATATGTATATATATATATATAATATCTAAATATGTATATACATATTGGGGATTGCTATTATGATTTGGGGAAGTATCCCCCATAAGGGTACCTAGGACCCTACAGGATGAGGCCCGGGCAGTCCCGCACACGCTGCGACTGGAGGCTTCACAGTTTAGCATCTACCCAGACCCCCGGGAGGATTCAAAAAGTAGATCCCTTAATGGGGTTTAGGGTTTAGGGTTTATAGGGTTTAGCGGATCCAACTAAAGTACCCTTAGTAGTATAGGGCCCCAAATTAGGGGATCTACTTTCTAGATCCTCCCGGGAGCCTGGGTAGGGGCATGACCAATGACTACTTTCGGACTGGAGCATGAGAAGTGAGATATCAGGCATGTCAGCCCACTCACTTAAGATGCGATTCTTTGAGGGATGCTTCTGGTAGCCTTACTAGCTCCACTTGCCTAGAGGCCGAAGCCAACCAGACCTTGCGCATTAATTAGCAGAAACAATAGCCATAGGGAGTAAAGCTACTACCAGAGACAGCAAGAACAACAGCACCAAGGCGATTGTTGCGGCCACCGTAGCTCACTACAGCATCCGGCTGCCTACCCCCAAAAAAACGGGAGCCTGTCCTCCTCTAGCCATGCGAACTTCTACGGCCGTTTCCACACCGAAAGAACTGCAAAACTCTAAACACGAACCCCCGCCTCGCCTCTACAAAACCTGCCCCTTTTAGGCTTCCACTTTTATGATTTCCTTATGCAAATCCTTAAAAGGGGTAGGCTTGTTGGGCAACAAGTACTGCCTGTGCTTTCTCACCGACCAAGGCTTTACTCCCCGAGGCCTTGTCCTTCTTCATGGTTTAAACAGACCGGCTAGTCGACCTTCTTAAGTAATTCCTACTAAGGGATATAGGTATAGGGCTCTGTCTATGATTGTTAAAAGGACAAGGGTGTCCCCGAGGCCTTCAGTGCATTCCGAAGGGTGAAGACGTAGATCAGAGCCAACTGTAGTAGCCGGTAGGCCTCGCGCTGGCTGATCTATAGGGGATCCTTTAAGGGGATCTATAGTTCATCCTTTAAAGGGATCTATAGGGTTTAGGGTTTAGGGGTTTAGGGTTTGGGTCAGGCTTTTTTGTGGGCTCCTTTTCTCACTGCGATACACGCGGCTGATCAGGGCTTGGGGTCTAGGATCAACGACTCAGTCAGTTTTTAATTCTTAAATCGACGTTCAAAAGTTTAAGCTTCTCGTGCTATTCGTATGTGGCTGTGTCTTGGGTGTCCTCACGGTCTTCTCGAGCCTGAATGAATTTTTGAGCTCCTCGGGCCCTTGGAAAAAACTCGCAAAAGATATCAAATCTGCTCCATCGTCGGTTGGCAGCTGCCGCTTTGGTTCCATCTCTTTGTTTTTGAACCGCCATTGCAAGAACATGGCTGTCATCCTTGCCACATGAGTGTGCCATGACAGCTCAAACCACTCTGTCGTTGCTTTGTTGCAGCGGCCTTCCAGTCGTCGCCCTCCGCGACGTACCGCCTGGCCTCTGTTTCATGGCTTCGGGGGTCCTGGCTTACGCAAGGCCCCATAGTAGTTCCTTTTTGGGGTTCATATTTAGAATCCTATAAGGTCATCCCAACAAGGAACTACTATGGGGCCTCAGGGTAGATGTTAGAGTGGAACGTTTAGGGTTTACGGTTTGGGCTTAAAGCGTGAAGAGACGCTCCGACGTGTTGGCTGAAAGGGTCAGGTACACTTAGTCAAGGGACAATGACTTGAAGGCTTAGTGGGACTACCATGCAAGCACAACCAGTCGCAAATGATGACCTGCAACAATTACCACATGCTTTGGCCGTAAAGTAGTCCCCAGAAAGGTACTCTGGGGCCAAAGTACACACTACGGCTGATGATATAAATCCTGCATTACATTCAGAACCCTTAACTATGCGAATTATGGTATAGTCCTCAAGCATTGTGGGTAATGCAGGATTTATACCATCAGCCGTATTTGGGCGCAGGGAGGCTTAGGGTTTGCCAAGTGCCAGGCCAAGAGATGGTAGCCCGCAATCACACCCACGTTGCACTGCAGCACCAAAGACCTCGGCTTTTTGTCGAAGTTGAAAGGGCTAAACCCAAAACCCAAAACCCTGAGAGCCTACCTTGTCGAGGGCTCCTTATATTTCTGACTCGTTGCTAAAAACCCTTTAAAAAAGGCAGTATGGTACGTTTTCGGGTGAACCCCAAACCTCCACAACCGTATGCTGCAATGGCCAACCTGCAACCAAGAGCACACGTTGGAGGTCCGATCTGCCAGCAACGCTTGCAGCTCTCGCCTCGGTATACTCCCCGGAGACTCCAATATATCCCTTAATTAAGGAATATACCGTAAATTATAGTAGGATCCCTCATATGATTTAAGGACTCCAATATCCCGTAATTGAGGAATATATTTCAAACTATAGTAGGATCCCTAATAATCTATGACTTAGGCAATATATTCCGCAATTAGGGGATATTGGGGTCTCTCTGTGTCTCTTGCGGATTACTACACGTGCATCAACCCTATCCCAAAGGGTCCAAAGGACCCAATACTTAGGTACTCGGTTTCAGGATAGTAGTTGTGTAGGTTAGGATTGTGGAGAGTATATGATTATTCGGCATTTGGACCCTCGGGGTATCAACCCTATCAACCCTAAACCCTTTTTGAACGAGGTCTCTCTGAAGTGCCTCCCAATGAGACCCTAGACCCTTTTTAGACCCCAGACCCTACAAACCCTAAAATCTAGACCCTTGCCCCTTTAACCGTAAACCTTAGCCCTTAAACCCTAAGCCCTGAACCTTAAACCCTAAACCCCAACCTTTGAACCGAAAAAGAGCAGCACTCAGGCCGAGCCGCGCCAACTCCCGGCCCCCATTCTCGTCGAAGACCCGGAGCCTTGCGAAATCGACCTTGGAGGGGCTTAGGGATTAGGGTTTAGGGTTTAGGGTTTAGGGATTAGGGATTAGGATTTAGGGATTAGGGTTTAGGGTTTAGGGATTAGGGATTAGGGATTAGGGTTTAGGGTTTAGGGATTAAGGATTAGGATTTAGGGATTAGGGTTTAGGGATTAAGGATTAGGATTTAGGGATTAGGGTTTAGGGATTAGGGTTTAGGGTTTAGGGATTAAGGATTAGGGTTTAGGGATTAGGGTTTAGGGGGGTGCCTAACGGCCTAAAACAGGGTTGAGGGATAAGGGCTCATAATTAGGGTATATCGCGCTGAGAGGGTTTCAAAGGCTTCTAGGGCCCACAGAGCTTAAGTGATAATCAGATGACAAGGTTTACAGGGCCCGGTTGCCTCTTGCATGGACATGAGCTGAAGATTTCTAAAATGGGATGTTGGGTGAACGGTGGTGCGGAGACGACAAGTGATGATGGAGCCTGTGTCTCTGTGGTCTACCTATGATGTAAGCTTGCCGTCGAACTCTCACCAAACCCTCTGCCCCGCACCACACGCTTCGAAGTTCAACTGGAAGCAAACCCAGCCTTGGATGGCATTAACCAATCGACCGGCTGACACTTCGACTACTACTGGAGAAGTCTTCATGGTTGTTTCCTAATTAAGCTATTAACAAGCAGCGCTTGGAGCGTTTTGCGATTAGGTGCGCGGTGCGCTTGGAGAGTGACTCTGTATAGGGAACCCCAATCGCAGACAGACGATGACAGGGTGCGTATGACAACCCGTGATTAGTTAGGAAACAAATCAGTGCGCAAAAAACACTAGGATGCCCAGTAATCTAGGAATAAAAAGGGCTCCCTGTTTGGTATTGGGCAACTTTATAAGGAACCTAGGACTACAAAAAGGGAATAAGGGTACTACTGGGCCTCCTAGAACATAGGGTGCTTCCAGGGTCTTCCAGGCCCCAGCAGGCCCACAAAAAGCTCCACAATGCAAACAATCTCCGCTGCATTCCCCCCGGCCCAAGATACGCGCTCGCAAACCTCGAATCGCAACTGCGCATCTCTGAACGAAAGAAGACCTAGATTTTCTGCAGTGCGCTGTGTCTGTGGCCCTGTGCGTTGAAAGCGTGCCGAAGAACGCACGGCGTGGTGCAAAACCCCTTGCTCAAACCAGTTGATCCATGCTTGGCCAAGCACGCACTTATCCTAAATCTTAAAGCCCTAAACCCTAAACCCTAAGCCCTAAACCCTAAACCATGGTTCCTAGCTCGGTCCTCTGGATCCCAGCTAAGCCCCCTTGAAGCCGTCGTGACTTGCACCCAGGTTACAAGCTCTCGATATCGGCTCCAGGTGCCTCCATCCTGAAGGAAAGCAGCTTACACTGTTGATGATATAAATCCGGCATTACCTTAAGCACCCTTAACTATGGGAAGTATGGTATATTCCTTACTATGGCAGGATTTATATCACCAACCGCAGTTTAGGTAAAGTTTGGGAGTTGGGGGTATACAGAGCAGCCGTGGATTGAAGTTATGCACCCCTGAATGTTTCAGATGCTGGCATTTATTGCCCTAAAGTACTCCACAGAGGATAGTGGGCTCACGGGCAAACAACAACAAAAAGAACAGTGACAGAACGAAGCACGTACATGCGATGGTATTCAGAAAAGCAGGACTGTGGCTAACACTGGTGACTGGCGGTGAAAGACTCAATTATCTTAACAAGGCTCAACATGGCCCAAAAGCCTTAACATGTGAGTCCTTAGAGCCTTAGGGTTAGTGTCATCGGTTTTCTTGGCCTGCGCAAGAAACACAACTGCTTGAACTCAGCCCGGAGCCCCCCCGGCTTCACGGGGCTTTGTACTTCTTCCTCTTCTTCTACTGGTTGTTCTTCTGGTGCCTTCCATGTTTTCCACAGGTGCTATGGTGAAGTGCGTTGCGAAACGGACAAAAAGATACTCAGGCCCCTTCCAACTTCCAACACCCAGAATCCCACGAAGATCTATCTTAATGATTCCGGTCTAGACGGTTTAGGTATGCGACGTCACAGCAGCCACAAGCACCCGTGCCCGGCCTCACGGCAATCGAAGCGTTCGTCGAAGAAAGGAACACCTGTAGTTCAAGAACATAATGCAGATCGGATAGGTCTGAGAAAGCCAATTATGCAACCGAAGGGGTCTCAGCTTAGACCTACTACAGTACCCTTATCATATGACCAACCCTAAGGAATAAGATTCTTGTTTCTTCGGATTTCAATATATATATATATACATATATATATATATGTACGTGTGTGTATATATATATATATATATATATGTCCTGAAGCCCGGACAGATTGAGCGAAGGATAGTGCCATTCTGACTTCTCGTCCTGACGGGTGAGGTTTGCACATCTATCCACAGACAGATCCCCGGAGAGTGCATAGATATATCATCCCACAGTCGAGCCCTAGGTATGGATCATGTGCAATACTCCCCAAACCGAAACCCAAAACCCTAAAACCTAAACCCTGAACCCTAAACCCTAAAACCTAAACCCTAAAACCTAAACCCTGCAATCCAAGTGGCCCTCTCCTTCCTCCACGCGAGCCTTGATGTCCTCAGCGGCAGGGTGCAACCTCCAACCCTCACGGTTTAAGGTTTCGGGCCGAAAACCCAAAGCAGAGAAATACAATAATCTCCTGTACTCACCGCCCTACCCAAACCCTAAAATACGTACAGGATTTCCTAGAATATGAGCCTCCCAAAAAAGCTTCCGAAACCCACATCAATGCTTGTACTCGGGTTCAGGAATGATCAGGAATGATTCCGCGCTCCGGGGACGGCAACGCAACGAAAGTACGAGACATTTCTAGATCCCCAAACTCTAAGTTGCATTTCGAATTTTTTCGCGATGGGCAAATTGCGGCGGTTTCTATAGGATACAGCTTTCTAGATTCAATAAACTGAGCTTTCGACCGCTGAAATGGCACTGGGCCGCTGCGCAGCCCCCAGCAAGGCACAGGCAAGAACAAGAAGATGCCACATCCATTCCCTACGAAGTCTCTCAGGGCTTTACGAGGCTTCAACGTAGGGTTTAGGAGTTTTTTTCCCTCCTACCTAGCAAGGACGAAGCCCGCATTGCAGGGAGTCTCGGTTGAACAGTTTTAGGAGTTTGGGGTGTGCGGCTTTAACGGTTTTATGGTCAGGGTGGGGTTCGAGACAAACAGTAGGGTGGCTTGCAGGTGCTGGTTTGGGGCTCTTGATCCCTCCTGGGTTCGGGGTTATGAGCGTTCATAGGAGGGCTTGCGGAGTTAAAGGTTTAGTGGCCATGTGATGCTCCCGCACGGCTACGACGGAAACTGCATGGTAACTTTCAGGCTTAACTGGTGAAAGTTTAGGGTTTGCCCTGACGTATAGAGCTTCCGTTTTTTAAGGCTTGGAGTTCCCGCACTCGTGCACTCGGGAAACAGCGTCTTTTCCTTGAGCAGCTCCACAGTGGAAAGTGCATAGGCCGGAGCATCCACGAAGAGTTGAAACAAACCCCTGCAACAGTGTTAAGCCTAGAGTTAGACAAGGAAACAGTGTCTTGAACACGGTAGAACCCGAAACTCTAAAATCCTGGACGCGCGTAGACTCAGCCTATCATACCCAAAGGGTCCAAGTATCATTATGGTATATACTTATAGGGTATTTGGGGGGTCTAAGTACATACCATAATGATACTTGGACCCTTTGGGATAACTGGTAACAAAAGGTCGTCCCGAAGACTTGTCACAACAGACATCAAGCCTCAGGAGCCTTGCCAGTCGGACCGGATCCTGTTGCATTCCCATGAGAAGCCGGTCTCTATTGCCCCCAGGCTTAAACTCAAACCGGTAACAATCGCAATGCCATCGAGCCTCAATATCCACCGAACCATAATAAGCTGTGGAAGGTAATATCAGTACAGTGGTTTGGGTTAAATCTTCAACAGTTTATGCTTAACTGCTTTTGCGGATACTGAACATGTTCTGACGAGAAGAAAATGTGGTTGGGGAAAGGGCGCCGAAGCAAGAAGTCTTTGCAGCAACTGCTGTAGTATGAAGAATAATCAGCAAGCGATAGCAAACGAACAGCCAGTTTCGAATCAGAATCGTGAAACTCCCAAGAAAGAAAAGCCTATGGTATTTAAACCAACAAGACCGCGCTGACAACAACTGTAAAGTTGTGCTGCTGCAATTGAAAAGATACGCTATGTTAGAAAATGGGGGCTTGTAGCAGTTAGAACCAAACAGAACAAGGTTTTGGGCGCACATCAAGGGTTTGGGGCACATCATAGTTCAATCACAGTAAGAACCATAAAATGAAAACAGTGCCAACTACTCAGACCCCTTCCCTGACCCCTCAGCTCTCAACTTTGAGTGAAGCCTATATCTAATCATTCCAACCCCTGTACTAGACCCAAGAAAGGCTACATGAGATGGGTTTGATGTGCTTTCCTCTGCCTTGTTGGGGGTGTCAATGGGAATGGAGGAAGGGATTCTTACGGGTTCCAGACTTCTTGCTAGTATAAGGGTTATTCCATAAGCCTGCCACCAGTACACATGAAGCGAAAAGCCTAAAGCCTCAGCCCCAAGCCCACACCCTGAGCCCTCGACCTTGTGCTGCAAGATCAACAATACGCCCCGCACCCCGCCCCCGAAGTTGCTCGGCAAGGCCCCGGCAACACCTGGAAAAAGCTCCTGCAAGTCAGGGCGGCCAGAAGCAATCCTAGACTAAATATCAGCCCTAAACCCTATACCGGGGTTGCGGGCGTAAGTTGTTTACGTTGGGTACGGCCCCCACTCAGTGATAGTTGGATAATATTCTTAATATAGATGTATTTGGACCTTAATAGTAGCCCTGTGACAGACTCTTACTGTATGGGGGCAGTACCTAATGTTTACGATTCCTCATCTCAGAGTCGACTGGGTTCAGGGCCACAGATCCATCAACAAGGACCTCTCAACCTGAGGGTGGTTGTCAAAATTATAGTCCCTTTTTGGGTCCCTAATATAATACGGCACCTAATATTTAGGGTACCCAAAAAGGGACCATAATTTTGACAACTACCCATGAGGGTTTCGACTCACACACTCGCGCAAGGCAGGCATGGCTTCAGGCACTGGGTCCACTGAGCTTGCTACCTGAGGGTTTAGGCTTTCGGTCTAGGTGAATTCATTTTATTCGTATCATTCTTTATTACTATATTACTATAACGAATATATTTAAATCTTGTTCTTATAGCTATTATTGTTATCATCATTATTCATATTAACGAAGCATCCAGACTTAGGCTTTCGGGTTTGGGGTCTGTGTTAGACCAGGATCTGTACTGCAACAACCCCTCTTCTTGGGATCACGTATTTTTTGGGAGGGGGTCCTTATAAAAAGTATCCTAGTATTTGGGGTTCTAGAATCGGATAAGTGGAAGGAGTGTCCCGGCCAGGGTTTAGAGTCCAGGGTTTATGCAGTTTAGGCTCAGCTTCGGCAGCAGTCATGCAGAACATACAAGTCGAATGATGCGAAACTTTGGCTGCTTCATATACCTGCTGAAGCGTATCCCTGTAATTGTAATCTCGAACCGTAACGAAACCTTAAACTCTAAACCTAGTGTGCGGGAAAATATGCTACTTCAGACTTTGAAACTCCAAAACCCTCCGAAAATTCCATGCTTCGGAGATCCCAAAGCTCAACTTCAATTCCAAGCCTCTTTCAAAACCAAAGCTCCCAACACCGGGATGCCAGCTTTTCTCTTCGACAGTTTGCTTACAGGCTTAGAGTCCAAGGTTTCGGGGCTTGAGTGAAACTCATCGGCTGCCCGGGAAGTGGGCAGGCGGTTTCATCCACCCTTGTCCTTGTAAAAATACTAGACAGAGCCCTATACCTATATCTCTTAGTAGGAATTATTTAAGAAGGTCTACTAGCCGGTCTGATTATTTTTTTGGGGGGGAACCATGAAAAAGGACAAGGCTGGTTTCGTCGCCTCGCATGAAGAACGGACGGGCATGTGCTTGTGCAGGCGTAGATGAGCATGGGCATTCTGGGCTGTGAGAGACACGAAAGACTTCCTTATTCGCTGCAAGCTTGCTACATACTCCTCAACTGATCGTCCAACGTGCTGCTGTCACCGCCAAACTTGTCATCGCCCCACGTGACGACGGATCCATCATTGAGAATTGCAGCAAAAGCAGCGTTGGTTGCCTGAATCTGCTGCACATTGTTCAGCTGACTTCGTACCCCAATGCTGTCGCCACCATAGCCAGCATCGCCCCACGTGATAACCGACCCATCGTGTAAGATTGCAGCAAAAGCCTTAAAGGTTGCTTGAAGCTGATGCACATCCTTCAGCTGATGTTGAACCTCGCAGCTGTCACCACCCGTGGCAGCATCTCCCCAGGTGACGACACACCCATCGCTGAGGATCGCAGCAAAAGCGCCATTAGTTGCCTGAATCTGCTGGACCTGCCTCAGCCGGTCTTGTACCATGCTGCTGTCACCACCGAAGTCTGCCTCGCCCCAAGTGACAACCGACCCATCTTTTAGGATCGCAGCAAAGGCAAGATTGGTGCCCTGAATCTGCTGCACATTCTTCAGCTGATCCTGTACAGCTGCACTGTCACCACCACCCAACGCTCCCCACGAGATAACCGATCCATCGTTGCGGATCGCCGCAAAGGAAGCAAGATTTGCTTGGATCTGCTGTACATTCTTGAGCTGGTCTTGCACGGCACTGCTGTCACCACCACCTCGAGGAAATCCCCAAGTTACGACGGACCCATCTTCAAGAATCGCAGCAAATGCTCGCTGGGTTGCTTGAATCTGCTGCACATTCTTCAGTTGGTCTTGTACCGCACTGCAGTCACCACCAAAGCTTGAAGCGCCCCAGGCGGCGACCGATCCATCGTGCTGGATCGCAGCAAAAGCCATGAGGGTGGCTTGAATCTGCCGCACACTCTTCAGCTGAGGACTGCTCCGGGCACTTGTTCCGGCACCCCACGTGACAACCGACCCATCCTTCCGGATGGCTGCGAACGCCGAATCATTTGCTTGGATCTCCTGCACATTCTGAAGTTGATCCCGCACTGCATTGCTGTCGCCGCCATTTCTAGCCGATCCCCAGGTCACGACCGAATCATCGGAGAGGATTGCAGCAAAGGCAAATGCATTCCGTTGGATGTGCTGTGCGTTCTTCAGCTGCTCTGACACCGCACATTCACCACCACGCTCGGCAGGACCCCAAGTCACGACAGATCCATCACCCAGGATTGCTGCGACAGCGTGCCGACCACTTATCCGAACTCCCCTTAATCGCAAAGCTAACGCTTCCCCATTCTGCAGCTTCAAGTCCGAAACGGAGGATCCTGCATATCCAGCAAGGTTTCGAGAAACGTCTTTTGTGGGGTTCTATCTGGGTCAATATAAAAAGCTTCACAAAAGGGCCTTCTTATTCGAATGTTCGGGTTTAAGGGTTTCACCAAGGGGCGTTCATACTTAAAGAATAAGACAGTGCCTTAATAATTAGAATAGGGTTTTGTGGTATAGTATACTATAATGTAATAAAGAACCACCGAAGAAGTATTGGAAATTAGACAAGCCCCTATGTCCCTATGTTAGAAAGAGAAGCTCCTCCATCCAGAACATGCCCAGTAGAGCTCAAGAGTTGACCTTTTCCGACTCCCAGAGCTTTTTGGGCGCGAAGCCGCAATGAATCCACAGAGTCGTCTGGCTGTGTCTCCAAGGAAACCTCGGTTCCCGAGTTGAGTAGGCCCTCTACTTACAGGATCATGGGACTTAGTAGCTAGGGTTATAATTCGGGTAACTATACCTATAACTACTTATAACCCCAATTAAGGTACTTATAACCTTACTTACTAAGTCCCATGATCCTCCATGTACAATAAGGGTACTATAGGGGCCCTTTATAAAGGGGCCTATAAGGGCTACCATCAGGGCTATTGTTGGATTTAGTATAGGGCCATAGGGGCCTTAATAATTAGAATATTGTTTTGGGATAGATTCTACTATATCTATAATAAGGGTACCCTTTTTCCTACGATTGGGCTTTTAATACGGGAACCCAAAAGAAAAAGGACAAAAGGGTATCACTCAGGAACCTGGAAACGGTCTTGCCACTTATGAGGCTCACTTCGACCGTCAGCGACATGATGACACCAAGCTACAAAGCGATGCTGTCAAGCACATCAAGCTTCAGGGTAAAGATTAGAGTTCAGGGCATCATGGGAGGATTTGAATACACCTTGCATTATTTCTTGCATAAGTTGACTTCAAAAACCCGGGCGTCATTTTTCGGTATTTGGGAAACGAAAAGGTCGATTCTCTGGGCCACTGGGCCAAACGAAAGCGTGCTAAGAGCCGAGAACTTAGGAGGTGGGTATGTAGGATGGTGGTCTTTGGCCTGTGCATCCATGCCCACTAGCAGTCACCACCTAAACCCCAGAAACTTCAACCCCTAACACGTGATCCAGAAATAGTTAGAGTATACCTTGCCTATTTAGGCTAATAATGCCACCGCCAACACATTAGATTATCATTCCTAGGGTCCCCCCTACATTTCACCGATATATGACTATTACTTCCCCCATTACATGATCATTCCTAGGGTCCCCCCTACACTTCACCGATATATCACTACTACTTCCCCATAATCAACACAATTCTAGGAATAACCATTACCCCATCTATTATCTCTAAGGTGGCACTATTGGTCTAAATAGGCAAGGGGGTTCTCGTAGGATTTGGTTCAGGGTTTAGGGTTATATAAGGGTTAAGGGTGATTGCAGGCGTGGAAACACATGCTCAGCAGAACCTCGGTCAGCAACCCGTGTTGCCTTTTGCTCGTGGATGTCTCTGCGCATCCTGCGGTGAAACATGTAGGATACGAACTGTTTTGTAACATCTGCTTCTCATCGGACTTGCTCAAACCATCGTGTAAATGCATCGCATTCCACATACATCAAATCCCAATGGTCCGAGGTGGTCGGTGTCCATTTGCACTCTTTGCCCTTTGCTTTGAAATCCCACAGCGCCAGCTTTGGCTTGGGTTCCCCCTCGGCTTCCTCTTTCAGCAACGTGTTTTGAACTAGCTTTCCATGTTGGTGCGTCTGGGCGATACTGATCTGGATTGCGAGAACCATGACTGCGTCACCATGCTTGTATCGGAGGAGACTGTCCAACACCGGATTCTTGAAGTCTTTCGGAGTAAAATACCCTGTCAAGCCATCAACCTCAATCTTCTTGTCGTTCTCGTATTCCTCGATTGCTTGCGAATTGTAGCCTTGCAACTCGCCACCCTTGACTTCGATGCTCTGCTTTGGCTTATCATCGTGCCTCCAATCCAGCGTAAGTTTCACTTCGAGCTTGGTCTCGACGACATGCTTCCAAAAGAAGTGAACCAGCATCTCAAAAGCAGTTCCCGCAGCACCCGGATTGTAATCCAACATCATGAGATACATCTCCTTCACACGATTGGGACTGCTTTGGGTGTCTGCTCTGATGCATTGAATGACGTAGTCGGACCTTGGGACTTGTTTCGCATGAGCCACACCATCTTTGAAATCGGAGTCCTTGTTCGCTGGGAAGAAGGCAAGTAAGTGAGAGTGCTGCTTCTGCTCGGCACTATTGGTAGGACGGGTGTTGACCATAAGGAAGCCGTCCTTCTCATCCTGACTCAGTTTTTTTTACAGCGCCGAAGATCTCGGACATGTCCTGCTTCGGACGGAAGCAATTGCGAACGGAACCGCCGCAAAAACTGCATAGACATCCGCCTCCACTTTAGGTAGCGTCGTCTTCATCGCATTGCAGTATGCTTGGAACTCATGCTCAAACCAACTCCACAGCACCAGCTTCTGAGTCATGCCTAGGATGTTGGACTGTGTGCCAACGATGTCCTCCTGCCCATGCCCAGAGACCAAGCCCATGAACTTGATGACGTTGGAGTCGTCCTCAATGATGCGATGCACACCTCTGAAAACCTTCTTAACTTCGTCGGGTAAGAGGTCGCCCACGTCAATGATGCAGACCTGGCACTGGGATGCCTTCAGCAACTGCTTCAACATGGCGGGATGCCATGTGCCAATCTCTTGGTAGGTGCTCTTCTGGTATTGCCCGTCGTCTGCCCAAATGGCGATGACATCAGTGCCTCTGATGGTCAGGTGCAGTGTTTGCACATTGTGCTCGCACTGTAGGGTGTTCGCCACCAGCCATCCGCACCACGTCTTGCCTGTTCCAGGACAACCGACAAGCGAAACCAACTTTTTGTCCCCATCGTCTTTCAACGTAGCCACTGATACATCATGCACTTCCAGAAGGTGCTTCCGAAGGAATATCGGTTTGTCTGCCTCCGTGTTCTTCGCCAACCTTACAACAGCACGACAACCAACCCTAAACAGAACAACCGATAAATCTAAACTAAAAAACTCATCCAAACCAATATAATGAGAACACTCGCCCCAGGCACAAAGGGGCGAAGCCTGAAACGTTGAACAGCTTGCCTTCCTCGCGGTCTTTATCCGCGACCGTGGGAATATAGAACTTGCATTCGGAAGAGGGTGTCGGCAACGCCGTCGCGGAACCAGCCTGGCCCACAACAAATGAAAAACCCTAAACCCGACTAAGCAACCCAATCAACTAACCCAACGGGGAAACCCTACGAGGAAACCAAACCTAGGGGGGGAATAAACCACTACGCTACAACCAAAGGGCCAACCCCTAAACCCAATAAGTAAGGTAATCAACTACGGCGATCGGGGAAGGTTACGAGTGAAAGAGGAAAGATTGCAACCAGGGAAATGGCACAGCAAAAAACGCTATGCTCACGACAAGGTTCGGACCCTTGTTCTTGTCCATGCAACTGCTTGAACAAAACGAGGGCAACTGAGTCTCGCAGTGCGTCGTTTCGTAGGTGGCTTCGAAGAAGGAATGAAAAGTCTTCCCTTGAAAGGTCAGTGAGATTTTCGGGATAGTTGACTAAAGTTTGCGCCACCGACGTCTTTGCACCGTCATCTAACTGCAAATTTTGAAGCCTATCGTACCATTGCTCCTGCGAGATCTTCCGCTTCTTTGTTGGAGGCGGCATTGCAGTGGCAAAGCGCGAGAGTTTACGAAACAACAACTGTAATTCATCCCCAGGCTGCTTCACCCCACAGTGAACACGAACGCTTGTCACAGGATCCCGTAGTTTAATTTTGCACATGACACTTCATGACGTGAACAGCAATGCGGCAAATCAAGTTGCTGACCAAAGCAACCAGATTCATGTTGACTGTCACATTGGCAGGTGAACGGGACTTGCAAGTCAAGTTGTGCACTTGCCTACAACCTCATACCACCACCAGCGAACCCACTCAGCAAATACAAATCGCAAGTTGCACCACGAAACACAAGTCAAGTTGTGAAAACCCCCACAACTTCAAGACTACTGTCAAAAGCTACACTTTCAGTAACTCAAAACGCAAATAAGCCCTATCATTGCCTCCAACATAATAATAATTTTGACCCAATTTGTCATCAATTTTTTTCTATGGTATAAACATTTTGGCTAAAATTGCCCACTCTCTCTTTTTCATTGGGTTTCCTCTTCCTGAATATTTTAACTTCATCACCAACACTTAATTCAGGATATACCCGATTTCGTTTAGCATTCATATTTAAATGCAGTTTAACTTTGAATTCATTGCTTGGTTGTCTGGCATCCTTTGGGGTGAATCCAGTCGCGGAATGCTTCATTTTATTTTTGTATGTTAATAATATTTCAAAAATATTGTCGGTCCATTGGATATTGTTCTTACCCTTTTTCTGATCGGCTTCAACTCTACAATATATTAAATCTTTGAACGTCCTAATGGCCCTCTCGCTAAAATTTGGATGCGCCCTAGTCCTGTGATGTTCTATGTTCTGTTCCTGTAAAAACTTTTGTATTGCCTCCTTGTTCATGGCGGCTTCATCATCGGTAAAAACTATCTTTGGCTTCTGTCCCATTTTATGTAAGCATTCAATCATCCCACTAGCTAAATCTTCCTCCTTCTTGCCTTTAATAGCCACGACATGCATGAACTTATCAAATATAACAATCATTAACATCCCTACTCTAAATTTTTGGTTCTCCAAATCATTTATAAAGGACAAGTCCATCTGATACTCCCATCCCGAATGAGGAGCGACAAAGCTGTTGGAACCAACAGGCTTGCGCTTCTGCTCAACGTTCTTCCTAAAAGAATCATTGATATCAGACATTGTGATGGTTTTGTCTTTCTCCCGTGCTTCTTCTAAAGTCCGGCTTGTTGAACCAAACCCCGCGCGATCAAAATAGACATCATTAATATTTTTTGTTTCTCACTCATATAAAAACAAAAGAAAATAATGATTTAAAAACTAAATTAAATCATCATTCGTCATCCAACGGCTTTATGATCTTGAACTTGCTCATATCATATTTGGGTGTGCCTTGCTTTGCTTTAAAAGGCTTTTTTGCATTCATTATTTCAGATAGCAATTCTTCTGTCAACTCATCGGGGTTCAGTTTGATATTGTTAGCTTCTTCATACTCCTTGATCTTCTTTCTCTGATTGTGTAGTGCAGATTCTCGTTTCTTTTGCAATTTTGTTTCCATCATTTCTGCGCTTGTTGTAATACAATCTGCTGTATATGGCCAATTGCTCTTTGACTTCATCCATTGTCATATCCTCGGGGTTTTTACTCATATTATACTATACTATATAAATTTTTACCTTTAGACATATTTCTATACATTAAAAAACATTTAATATTTTAAAAAGCATCTTTGGAAAAATACACTTAAAGATTTAATAATATATAGTTTAAATATGATAGTATGTGTCCAAAGCCATTAAGCGTAATACAGAAGCACTACAAACATTTTGTAACAACAGACGAAACCGCATCAGCCAAGCCACCAGAACAAAAGTTCAAAATATAGTTAACTTATATTCAGATCGTAAGATCGCCCAATACACCACAGCAGACAATGTAATCAGGAAACTCACCACCGCAAAAACAGACAAAGAAAAAGCCAAAGCGGAAAAAGACAACAACAAGATTTATGACAAGCACAAGGATAAAGAACAATTAGGTCAGAGAATGTCACAAGCCAAAGAAGACAACAAAAGAACAGGAAGAACCAACCCA